TGTGTGTGTGTGAACTAATGAAGTTAATTTTAATACCGCTGATTATTATGATGAGCGATGATGATAATGAGCTTTTTGCGGCTGTTCTCCTTGTTCGCTTTGTACTCACCGCCTTGCAAAGTTCTTGGCTCTCTTGCTCGCGCTGCTTCTTCTTCGCACTGACCGCTTATTATGGCACAGCTAACGGTGCCTTGATAAATGAATACACGATTTATCTGTGCGTGTGTATGTGTTTCTGCATATCTTTATGTTGTTATTATTAAATTGACCTTTTTTTTGCCATTGTTGCGAACTGTTTTTTGTTTTTGCCTTTTGTTTTGCTTTATTATTCGGTGGCAAGCTTCGAACATCGAATGTTTCATAATTCCTATTCAGCTTGCCCAGGGCCCCCATTTTAGCCCAGCTGACCGTCTTTTAAGCCATTACATTATAATAACGACATAGTTTCTATTGCCAAATTAGTACGCATTGTTAAAGTTACATACTTGTGTATGTGTATACATACATATGCTGCATTGGCGGGCCGTACTGGAAAAGTGAAAGTACTAAGCCGCGCTGCTCTTGCAATTACCTAATCAACAGTCTGCCTCTCCGCTGGCAAAGCTCTTGCTGTCTGGGAATGGGCCCACAACCTCACAACAACGACAAAAGCATCGAATGTTGCAAAAAAATAATAATAATAAAAATAATGTTGGCTTAATCGTGGACATCGTCTATCGCTTTATAACATTTAAAAAAACTTCGACCGGTAGCTAACAAAACAAAAGTCTGCGATAAAAACATCAATTTTTTAACATTATTTTTTTTTGTTTTTTTTTTTTTAATGGGAAGGAAACTAGAAAACACGTAACATCCGTTTTTATCGTCCAAAACAACTTCTGTGTGTGGTCAGCATATTCTTTTAGTTTACTTTTCGCTTTGCAGTACATATGTATATCTTTTATGTACTTTTATAAAATGCTTGATATTTTTATTTGTATACAAGTTATATTTAAATTTTGTACGTCTTTTGATAACTTGAGTGTGTCGCGAGAGTTCAATGAACTGCAGCCAATTGGTTAAAAGTCAAATAAAAAGTACAGCTGATGTTAATTATAGAAAAAATTATAAAAGTATCTTTGGATCTGACTGCAGATCAGGGCATAGTCTGAATGATAAGCTGAAAGTTCACAGAAGAAGAATTCCAGCAACAACGCACAGCCTGTGTGTGTCTAAAGTGTAGGAGCGTCGGACCAGCAAACGAGAGGTCGCCGGCTCAAATCAAACAGAAGCGAATGTATGTAGGCGGGGTGGCATTTAGAAAGAGTTCTTATACATATATCTAAAGCTGGCGAGAATTAAACAATCAATTTAGTTTAGGAGCGTCAAACCAAGAAGCGAGAGGTCGCTGGCTCAAAGCTAGGTTTGGCGAATGTATAGAAAGGTGGCAGTTGGACACGGTACTTTTAGATGTGTCTGAAGTTTTCGGGAATTATACAATCGATTTAGAGTATTCAGCATTTTAATCGTGCAACTCTGAGTTATTGACTTGCAGTATATAAGAAAAATTGACTATATACGATAAAAACGTCGCACCTTTTCCCGTTAAATACGATTATTTGCCCCAATATACAAATAAAGCACTTCAATCAGCGCTGCTCAATACATGCCAATTGTTTGCAAATTCCTATATCTCCAAATATATTCGAGTAGTTGAGTTACTTACGGAATTACATGACCAACGCAATTGAGCACGTACGACGGCAGCTAGCTTTTTGGCCTCTTGAACCCAAAGACAATTGAACAATTTGTGGCATCCATTCATTCATGAAAAAAACAACAACAGGCCTGCTGCCTTCTCGTTCCAGTCATTCATTCATTCATTGGCGCTTTTTACGCATGACACAGACCATTCCCGATTACAAATTCAATTGTTTGCTGGTTGACAGGGGTCACGCCTACTAGAGCCAACATCCGTCCATGCACATTTGCACAATTGTAATTGTTGTTTTGTTTTTTTTTTGGTTCATTTGCAGGCGCCGGCGAATCCGGCAAATCGACCATAGTTAAACAGATGAAGATCATCCACGAGACGGGCTACTCACAGGAGGAGTGCGAGGAGTATCGACGCGTCGTCTACAGCAACACCGTACAGAGCCTGATGGTCATAATACGCGCAATGGGCCGGCTAAAGATCGAGTTTGCGGATCCTGGCAAGACGGACATTGCTCGCCAGTTTTTCACACACGCCTCCGCGGCGGACGAGGGCATCCTGCTGCCGGAGATTGTGCTGCTGATGAAGAAGCTCTGGTCCGATGCCGGCGTGCAGCAATCCTTCTCACGCTCGCGCGAATATCAGCTCAACGACTCGGCCGGCTACTATCTGAACTCGCTGGACCGCATCGCGCAGCCCAACTATATACCCACACAGCAGGATGTGCTGCGGACACGTGTCAAGACCACCGGCATCATCGAGACGCATTTCAGCTGTAAACAATTGCACTTCAAGTGAGCTTCTTGTCGTAAAATTCTTTGGTCAACTTTGACAATCCCGTATCCTCTATGTAGACTCTTTGACGTGGGCGGTCAGCGCTCGGAGCGCAAGAAGTGGATTCATTGCTTTGAGGGCGTGACGGCCATCATCTTCTGTGTGGCGCTGTCAGGTGAGGCTCAGCAACTGTTTATTAAATAAGTTGCACTAATCTGTGTCCTTTTCATGCAGGCTACGACTTGGTTTTGGCTGAGGATGAGGAAATGAATCGCATGATTGAATCACTCAAACTGTTCGATTCCATATGCAATTCGAAATGGTTTGTGGAAACGTCTATAATACTCTTCTTGAACAAAAAGGATTTGTTTGAGGAGAAAATCAAGCGATCTCCCCTTACGATATGCTTTCCGGAATACACTGGTAAAACGACACGAAATCTGAAGTTGAACGGAATGCTTAAATGCGTTTATCTTTTGCAGGTTCCAATACGTTCGAGGAGGCCGCCAACTATATACGCATGAAATTCGAAAATCTCAACAAACGAAAAGACCAAAAAGAAATCTATACGCATCTCACCTGTGCAACAGATACAAATAATGTTAAATTTGTATTTGATGCAGTCACCGATGTCATCATCAAGAACAATCTGAAACAAATTGGTCTGTTCTAAACGGGGGAGAGATCAGTTGCGATACGAGTTTAGAGTGCGTCTTAGTATTAAAGGAAAACGCGCAAACATTTCCATTACATTATAATTAATTAACTATAACGACATTATATATATATAATCTGTTTAATCTGTAATTTTATGCATATACTCTATGTAGTATATGCTATAGAATTGAAAACGCTTTACAAGCTCTTGATATACTTATATGCTTACATATGTAAACCGATTTTGTTGCCAGTAGTCAGTCTCGGAACAAATAACCAACTGCAATTAATTAAGTTAACCGTTAAAATGCTAGAAGTGAACTAATTAAAATACGCATATATGTATTGTATGTAATTTAACAAGTGTGTAAAGTAGACGACGCCAGGAGCTTGGTAAAGATAGCTGCCCAGATACATATGTATGTAATTCCCATAATGCCCATAAATTTGGCCAGCTAACTTTGCATTTAGTTAAGATTTAAGTAATTCATGTGACTAAATTGCATCGCGCAAAGCAAGTGAACTTTTGAGCACGTGCGTGTCTCAACGGGCTTCCTTTTCTTTATGCAATGCATTTTGGCCACGTTTTATAACACTGTCGAGAATTTGCCAAGAGCTTAGCGCACTGGAAGAAGAGTGCGCGTGGGCCTAATTTTTGTATGCCCTCTACATTTAACTAGAAATTTTACTAATTCTCTTAGTAATAGCCTTAATAAAGACAAACTACAACAAACAATCAAAGCACAACTTTAATGATAGCCCAATTAGTAATAACAATAATCAGAACGTGTAGTGGGGTCCTTTTAGGGCCGTTATACAACACTGTACATTGCTACTGTGGAGAATTTGTGCCTGTATCAGAAGTGCCTTCTTTTGCTGTCAACTTTTGTCGAAGTAGGTCGAGGCTTTTTAATTTTCTAAACCATTTAAATTTGTACAATATTCAGGTAGTTAGAGGAGCTCTGTTTAATATTGTGTAGGACGCTAGTATACAAATTCGAAGCCGAGGTTTAGTTAAACAATATGCTGCGCGCAGTTATTTCGGTTGGTCAACGTGGAAAGCTTCCACTAACCCTGCTGTCGGTCAGGGGCGTTGTTGGTAAGTGCGAATCGCGTATATTCCGATTAAACTTCTGTCGATCACATTTGCATAGATTCCATTGTAGCGCACAACCATATACGCTTGTCGCATTCCTACTCCCGGCCACTTGTGCGTTATTTTGCTAGCGGCGATAACAAGATTAAGGGATCGGTCGGCAGCAGCCCGGCTGGCATAATTGGCAACGTGGGTCAATCGACGAGTCTGGGCAGTGTTACTGGCAATGAGTCGACTGCGTATGCGCAGACGCAGCCCGAAGCTGTCGCAGGTGACCCCGCCCGCGACGGTAACTTTGCCAAGAAGACGGGCGAGGTTGCTTCACAGGTGCCTATCACTCCTTCGGTAACAGAATGTGGCAAGATTGGCACCGAAGAGTCGTCTGTTGGAGCAAAATCGTCGTCGTCGTCGTCGAAGGCGAGTGAGTCGAGCAAAGCGGTTGGGCAATCAGGTGATGGACCTACTGGCAATAAAATGGCTGACGATGCAGTTAAGCAGCTGCAGGAATTGGCAGCCAATCTGCCCAGTAAGGAACAGGTCGAGAAGTTCGTCTTTCGAGTGGTGGCATTTTTATATGACCTGATCTACTTGACGGCCACCTGGACCATACGCTTTGTCGACGAGAAGATAGTGCAGAATAACACAGTCAGATACTACTGGAAACGCTTCCATGAGAAAATGGAGCAGGCTAAGAAGGACTAAGCACAGCTAAGAAATTTTTTATAAAAGTCGAACATGCATATCATGTCGAATGCACAAAACATTAAACAAAGCTAAATCTCATATTTGCAGACGCTCCAATGTGTATTTGTATACATTATTATAGCTTAGGTTGCACATTTCATTTTTGGTTGCTTCAAATTCAGGTGAAGCTTGCAAAGCTGGCATAGCCGTCCAGCAATTTGGCCAGATACTTGAGTATCTTATTGCGCGCCGCCTTCAGCTGTGGGGGATCGCTATTGACCGGCTCGTACATGTTGGCGCAGTGTGCGGTGCCTGTAAAAGTTATCAGCATGAGCATCGAATTTCATCTGAATTGAGACTCTGGACTCTACCTTCTATGTAAATGGTGGGCGTGTTGGCATTGGGCGAGACATACAAGCCCAGTGCGTGCCATGGATCAATCGAGCCGTGCACGTACAGCACCTGGGTGGTCGCCGGCTTGAGTGCGCCATAGTACTTGTTCGTCTGGGCCACAGCCTGCTCCAGGAATTTGCCGTCCATGCGCTCCGAGAATATGTCCATGCACTGACGTATGAAAAAGTCAACGCCAAAGCGATCGCCGAATGTGTCCGATTTATTTTCCGACGTCTGATAGAAGCCAAACTCAGTGCAGGTTTGGTAGGTCCATTGGCGCATGCCCTTCGCTGCCATCGAGTCCCACGAAACGTTCTTCATATCGGCTATCATTTTGTCGTACTTGTAGTCCAGGCACTTCGACTCGGACTGCTTCAGCAGCATGTCGTTAACCGCAGCCAAACGTGTCACAGGCGGACCCATTGTGGTGTTCAGCATAACATCGCAGATCTGTAAGCATTTAGAGGATGTTAGCACAAATCCTGCGCAGCTCTAATCAGCGTCTCCTCTCCATACCTCATCGATGGTTATGTTGGCATGTGGACTGTTGTCCTTGTTGTACTGCACCACGCCAGCAAAGTTGCCAGCAATATTTTCAAATAGATTTGAGATGTCCAATTGATTTTCAATCGAGTCTTTGAGGGGCGTGCACGTTCTAAACGGAAGGCCAATGTTAAGTTATCTATTCGCAGCTGTGCAGTGGGCTACATACTTGAATTTCTCGTCGAGATTACGTTGTCCAATCATGTGCTTTAGCAGTATCTCCACCTGAGCAATGCCGCGCGTCACAGCCTCCACGCATTCCGGCTTGTAGCTGGCCAGCGACGACTTAACCACCTCGAAGTACTGGCTAAAATCAACCTGGGCCAGCAGCGGACCACTCGAGCTGATGGAGCCGTCAATTAAATGCGGATACTTCTCGCGCGCCCAGGCGGCCAAGCTGCCTGGATAGGAGCCGCCAAATGCAATCCACTTCTGGCTTGCATCCATATTGTATTTGGTCTTCATGGTCGTAACAAAGTTGGCCAAGTCGGCCAAAGCCTGCTCCGAGCTGAGATAGGCCAGGTTGCTGGTGGACAAATCGCTGGTCGGATGACTCTTGCCATAGAAACGATGCTCCAGCTGAATGCAGAGCGCACCAAAGTGTTCGGCATAGCGCACCCAGGCGCCTTCATGCATCCACTTCTTGGTGGCCTCCCCCTCGCCGCCAATCATCAGAAACACCGGAGCATGACTGTCATTTCTGTAAAATGCATCGTTCACAAAGTAGCGCTGTTGCCAGGTGCGCGTGTCGTCCGGCTGGAGGTGGTCCAAACGCTGCTCGAACCACAAATCCTCCACATCCATCGATTGCTGCAGGGTGGCAATTTTACTCGGTCCACCCAGAAATCCATTCACATGGCGACCCAGTCGAAAGCTGCCCAAGCTGCTCGACTGCGCAATTAGGCAAGTCAGCAGCAGCAGCAGGCAATAACCTTCGGGATTGTTCGGAATTCGCAGCATTTTGCAGCTTAATCACAATCGTGCGTTCCGTGGCTTTTGTTTTTATTGTTTGTTGCGGGTCAAGTTGGTTTTTATTTGATTAGCACAAGAGGCGTTTGTCCGACTAACTGTGAAAACGGAGCAAGACTGCAACTTATATAGTTCTATTTATGTACATATATATGTGTGGTATATATACACACACACACGCATACTTTTTCCTTATGCTTTTGTTGTTTTGTTATTCTCTTACACTTGCCGGCTGTACTGCGGCGTTGCCACCTAGTTATGTTTCTTTACGCTAGTTCGCGGCCGTTTAGAATGTTCCCAGTGTTGGCATAGAAGCGTTGCTCGCTTTTTTGAAAAGTAGCAAAATGAAAGGCGCAACGTTGCCACCTTGTTTGAAAACGGCTTCCAGGCAACGGTTGCTTAATTTTCAAACAATATATAAGCAGTTGCTGTTCATATTGTCAGCAACCGGTGGAGCATTTCCAATAATAGAAATCATATAAAAAACAAAATTAAAATATATATTTTATATGATAATGGCAACCGCGGTCAAAGAATGCCAGCAGCTACAGCCGCGCGCAATTTTCGGCATCAATGGCAAAGTGGAGAACGGCGTGCGTCAGCATCCCATTACCCAGGCGGCCATATTTCCACTGGGCAACAAGATTGCCATTGCCGACTTCAAAAAGAACACACAGGAATTCGTTGCCGGACACACAAACAGCATATCCTGCCTGGATGTCAGCAAGAGCGGCAAGCATATCGCCTCCGGCCAGGTCAATCACATGGGCTTTCGCGGCTACGTCATCGTATGGGATTATGAGTCGCGCAAGGAGATCGGACGTCACGATCTGCACAAAGTGAAAGTGCAGGCCATTTGCTTTACGGCCGAGGAACGCTTTGTCATCTCCATTGGAGGCAAGGACGACGGTTCCGTCATCGTATTCGATATGCAAACATTGTAAATATGTTGCTGTTACCCAATCATTTTGTGCTCTCTCTCAACCTGTGCTCCTCTCTACCTGCAGCACGCCCATTTGCCGCCAGCCCGCCTCGCGCGCCATTTCTGGAAATGCCCTTACTGTGCGTCCGTTACATAACAATCCATTTTTCTTTCTAACCGCCGGCGATCGGCACCTGCGCCTGTGGAGCATTCTACGCGAGCAGAAGAAGCTGTACGTGCAGGATGTCCAGTTGGCCAGCAAGTCGCGCCAGTTCTACTGTGCCCGCATCGATAAGAAGGATGAGTTCGCCTATCTGGGCACCGGCACGGGCGATATTGTTAAGATCGTGCTCAACTGCTGCGACAGGGACAATGTGACCCGACCAGGTTCATCTAGCGGCATACTGGGCGCCTTCGGCACACATAATCCACGCAAGCCCACGGGTCGCGATTGCAATCGCTATGTGAACGGCGTGCGTGCAATATATGTGCTGGAGGAGGGACGTCTGCTAATTGGTGCCGGCGATGGTGAGGTGGAGCTGGTGGAGGAGCGCACGGAGATACCATTGATCAATTTCCGAGAATATCCGGGACCCACATGGCCCTACTTGCGCACGGTAAGTCATCGTCTTTGGGCTTGAATGAATCTTAAAAACGTTTCCGTCTTTCTGCAGGTGAAGAGAACCCGCGTTTCGGGTCGCATCTCTTCGTTTGTGCGCTCCACGCCAGAGAAATTCTACATCTGCACGGACACCAACGAGATTTACATGCTGAACATATCAACCTGGGTGCTAAAGCTGCTGCGCACATGTCACGCCAAGGCAGTCTACTTTATTACATTTCCCAAGTAGGTGCTGCTGGCTAGCTGCTCTGATCTCTCCTGATCTCCTGATACCCAATTGCAACTATTTCAGAAACTATGCAGCTGTTTTTGCCACCGCGGGCCATGAGAGCATACGCATCTGGTCCCTGAATCGCAAGCAGGAGCTGCTGCGCATCATGGTATATAACTTTAACTGCGCTGCGGTGCGCTTCGCCCAGGATGGCACCAGCATTGTGTCCGTGTGGAATGATGGCATCATACGCGCCTTTACGCCCATCACTGGCCGTCTCATCTATGCCATACCCAATGCTCACAATAAGGGTAAGCCCTCAATTCGTAATTCAGTAATCCTTAAACTAATCCCACTCCATTCAGGCTGTAGTGCATTGGCGGTAGCTTCAACTGGCCGCTTCATCGTAACTGGCGGCATCGAGGGACAGGTGCGCGTGTGGAAGATCGAGCCATATCGTCAGGATCTAGTCGGCGTGCTAAAGGATCACTCGGGTCCCATTACCTCGCTGGACATCAACTATCTGGACACTGAAGTGATTTCCGCCTGCACTGACGGCTCCTGCGTCATTTGGGACATCAATCGCATGACCCGCAAGCAGGTGGTCACTTCCAACACGCAGTTCATGTCCGTCCTATACTTCCCGACTGGAGTACAGATACTCACGTGCGGCTCGGATGGCAGAATCATCTACTGGATGGTGTACAACGGAGCACTGATACGCGAGCTGACCGCCTCGAAGAAGTCATCTGTGAACTGTTTGTCGATGAATGCCACCGGCGACTATTTTGTTAGCGTTGGCAGCGATCTGCAAGTGAAGCTGTGGGATTACAACAGCGGCGATGTGGTGGGCGTGGGATCGGAACATGCCTCGTCTGTGATCAGCGCTGCGTACAGTCCCTGCGGCAAGATGTTTGTCACAGGCAGCACGGATGGCTCACTGATCATTTGGGATGTGCCCCAGGAATATTGGGGTAGTCCCAATCCAGCCGATGGGCCCAGCTACCAGCTGCCCAAGGCCCAGCCGAAAGGCAAGGTAGTTCAGTCACGCGTCGACTCCGGCACACGTTTGAAGCCTGCGCCCGGCGAGAATATCAATGGTCTGCTCAAAGCAACGCCCAAGGATGACATCTGCTGTGTTGAGTGTCCGCCCTGCGCCAAGAAGGAAGCCAAGGCTGCTGATCCCTTCGCCGAGTGCAAGATTGTGCCGGATGTCAGGAAGTGTTAGGTGATTTAATAATTATCTAATATTTTGCTTAACACTGTTCAAAGCATTTGCTTGAAATAAATACAAAGAGCATGTACTAAAAAAGGAATTTAATCACAGGTTAATTTTGAAATTAATTTTTGGGATCACTTGAAAGTGAATTCGACTTTTTTAGCTTCTTCCTTTGCTTGTTTTTTCATTTCCTCCTCCTGTCGCTTGTTCTCCTTTGCAGCTTCGGCTTCCTGTCGCTTGCGCTCCTTTTCGGCTTCGGCGTTTAGACGCTTCTGTTCCTTTTCGGCTTCAGCCATTTGCTTTTTCTCTTCCTTCTCGGCCAGTTCCTGCTGCTTCTTGGCCTCCTTTTCAGCAGCAGCCTGCCTCTTTTTGGCTTCAGCCTCACGCTTGCTATCATACTTTTTCCATTCCTTCTGCACGGCAGCGAACTCCTTCAAGCGATCTGCCCTTTCCTTATCCGTTTCGGGTGTCTTGCCATTGCCCTCAACATCGATCTCATCCTCATATCCATCTGGCGGCAAGGGATTCCAGAAACTATTATGGAATGCTGTGGTATTTCCGTCCCTGAAGAAATACGGCTTTCCACGTAGATACAAGTGCGACCAGTACCTATACTCTGGTCGCTCCTCTTCCTTGTGCGAGGTGAACACAAGGACCGTCAGTATGGCAATCAGCGGCAGTCCACCCATTAGCGAAATCTTCTGCCACCTCTTTGAATTCTTGTAATCTGGCGCTATGTGACCATTGTTGGATTTTTAATATCTCTTTTATTTAATATTGCTCTCAAAGAGGAGTTGAGCGACTTACGTGGCTTGGGGCAGGGTGTGCACGGACACTTTGGGCCGCCACCGGATATTTCCGCAGGACAAGTGGCTTCTGTTTTCTGCAATCCTTCACGCTTGAGTACCAACTCTTCGCAGCTCAACTGTTTCTGTTTTTTCTCCTTTGGCGGTGGTGGGCAAGGCGGGGGTTTCTTTTTGGATTTGCACTGGGCACCGCCACTAATCGCAGTTTCATCCTTCCTGGGTGGTGCGTCCTTCTTGCATTCACTCTTCTTCGGTTCGCTACCAGCTTTCGGTTCGCTTTTGCAATCGGGCTTCTTTACTTCCGCTACAAACATTAATTAACAACCGGTTTTTCTATTAATTTTAATCATTTTACACCTTTTTTTTCGCATTTATCGGAGTCGGCTGGCTTCTTGGTTTTATCAGACATAAACCGATAGCGCGCATTGGATAATGATGGAATTGCTTGGTACGTCAGACGTGGGTTTTTGATAAGACTTAATAACTGCAGCATGTTTTTTAGCCCAGAAGAGGAGATTCCAAAAAATTTGACCTAAATATTAAACCAACTACTGGTGTCTAAAAATTGTAAACTACAGCAATCGACATTTTATATGAACACCTTAAAAAAAGTAAACTCAAAGGCATCTACGCCAATGGGTTTGTGTTGATTTTGAATCTGGGCGCCAACTGTGTTTACAGGGTAAATAATCGATATCGGATGTGTTGGTTAACAGACTGCGCTGCTAGTTCACGGTTGTTAACAGATTTGTGCTAACATAACATTGGACAAACAAACACTAATTTTAGCAGTAAATGTTATTTTAGAGATAAGGTTGTCTTTACACCACAGATTAATATTTAAATAGGGTATGCAGACTTAGTTATTAGGAGTAATATGTGGATACCAAGAACTGAGTTTGTTTAACTCGAGCAGGAAAAAAAGTATAAGAAACCTTACATACAGGTTGCTCAAAAACATTGCAATATTAATATGAATATTAATATATACAAATAGTGTAACATTCTTTTCAAATACGGAAATGTTACGCACCAAATAAGCGTAAGTTTAACTTAAAAGAGTAGAGGGTGTCTAGCAGTTCGCCAACAGCACTGAGCATTTTTGCTTTTTACAGTCTGATTGGAAGTTTTGTTAACAGATGTTATTCGGACGCCGTGGAGGAAGCATTAAACATTTATGTGCATATGTATTGTTGTTTGAAAAAGTTGAGTCGAGCGTAAATTGACGGTAGTTCTGCACATTCGTTCGTTATTTTGAATTAATTGTGTGTGTGTAAAAATCGATTTGAACAACAATGAAGGTCTGCTGCATTGGCGCTGGTTATGTTGGCGGCCCGACATGTGCGGTAATGGCGCTCAAGTGTCCGGATATTACCATAACGCTGGTCGATAAAAGCGCTGAGAGAATCGCACAGTGGAATTCGGAGAAATTGCCCATCTATGAGGTTAGTTTAAGTTATTGCTGTATATCTACGCGGCCGGATGATCATGTTTCCTAGTGCACACACATTTCTGTGTGTTTGCATTTGAATAATGCTTGTGCACATGCATGACCCTGTGTGTGTGCGCGTGTGTTTGTGTGCGTGTGTCTGTGTATGGGCTAGAGATCTAACGCGCTGCGTGCTGTAAAATATAAAAAAAAAACCAAAAATCCTAAACAAACAACACATCAATCAGAAGTACGCATACGAATGGCCAGACAATACCAAAACGTCGATGAACTCCTCATGCCCATGTTTTCGAGTAGCCCAGCATTCAACTTTACAGCCCTTCCCCCCCCCCCCCCCCCCCCTCACCGCTCCCATAAAAACACACTAAACCTCAAACCAGTTCCCCAACCGTCTCTGGCTGCTGTTTGAGAAACTGATTTGTATACAACGCGCACCTTGCCTGCCCTCACCTTAAACCTTAGTGCGTGCGATTGCGTGCTCTTTTAACTGCGGCGAAGATCGAGTACATCCGACTGTCGCAAATCACAGGTGCTCAGCAAGGTCAATGGTCACTCTCCCCCCAAATAGAAGTGAGCTCCCCGCCCCGCGTACCGAGCGGACGAACATTCATTAGTCATTCATAAGGCACACACACACACACACACATGTACATTCATCCGCAAGTACATACGCGCACTCACATGTTTATTGAGTGCCAAATAATTACACTAGCTAACAAGATTGCGTACAAATTCGATTCGATGCGATTTGACCTAGTCAGGGGAAGCCGCTAAAAAGCTGGCGCTCTCTTTATGCTGTGCTGTTTGTTGTCGCATTTCCGTTTCTTTTATATACGTTACTCCAGACTTGTTTCCGTCCGCGCCCCAGTTAGCGGCCCAAATCCTTATCAGGCCACATTACGTCTTGTGAGGCAGATAAGCCTCAGCTATCAGCTAGCGCTGGATGATGTGAAACTCAGGGTCTGCGGGCGGCTTGACAGCAACATTTTTCAACAATTCATGAATGCCAACAGAACGGGTTGCGTCCCATGATTAATAAATATTATTATTCTTCGAATAATATCTGTCATTGGGCCAAGGCGTAATTTGAGTTGTATCTTTTTTATATACATATTTATGCCCACTTCAGTCAGAGGTTGCATCATCGCGTTGTAAGCGCAACATTGTAAAAATAAATAATTAGCTAAACAAAAAAACGAATAGTTAATGCTAATGTCGGCGACGACAACGTCCCTTGTTTCTGTGCAGGTGTTTGCCCAGGTGCCAAATTGGTTGTTGCAATTCTTTAAGGCTAGCAAATACGCTAATTGCCTTTTGTGTGTTGCGCTTATCAGCGCGTAGACAGATAGGAGTAGTTCATTATAGGCAGCGGCCATTCGTCAATTTGTTTACCACAATTTCGCCCTAACTGACATTTCTACAGAATTTGATTTAATTATAACGAATAGATTTGCTTGCTCGTTATTATTCTACGTTCTGCTGCAAAATTTCCCAATTAGCGACTTTCGTTTCTTTTTGTTATAAATTATCATGTAAACAGGTTCAATAAACTCCCAATTCTGATTAAAATGCAAAGCTTGTAGAGTTTGGCAGAAATAGCACATTGCATAAACGAAACATCATTAGAACAAATATATATATATATATGTTTCTGTACAATTACCCATCATTTAGGGCAATATGTTTTTCTACTTAAAAAAGGAACCCATTCGTGAACAGAAAAACCCAATTATCTTATCTTTAGACCAAACACAGGCGAGAGAACAGTTGACAGAGCGTTTGAATCGCTCGTATTATCTAAAACTGGGCGAGCTAAGCACATATTTTTATCAATATATATATATATATCAAATTCTTATCCGCAGCCCGGTCTCGATGAGGTGGTCAAGAAGTGTCGCAATGTGAACCTGTTCTTCTCCACGGACATAACAACTGCCATTAAAGATGCCGATCTCATCTTCATATCGGTGAACACGCCCACGAAAACCTGCGGCAGCGGCAAGGGTAAGTTATGTCTATGTCCAGCAAAACGATAAACTAACAACTTTATTAACTTCCAGGTCGAGCAGCGGATCTGAAGTACGTGGAGAGTGCGGCACGCATGATTGCTGAGATCGCGCAGTCGAATAAAATCGTTGTCGAGAAGAGCACGGTGCCAGTGCGTGCCGCCGAAAGCATTATGCATATATTGCGGGCAAATCAGAAGCCTGGCATACACTATGATATACTCTCTAATCCGGAGTTTCTGGCCGAGGGCACGGCCATCAACGACTTGCTGAATGCGGATCGCGTTTTGATTGGCGGCGAAGAAACGCCAGAGGGCCATCAGGCGGTGGAGAAGCTGTCGTGGATCTATGAGCACTGGATACCAAAGAAGAACATACTGACTACCAATACGTGGAGCAGCGAGCTCTCCAAGCTGGCGGCCAATGCATTTCTAGCGCAGCGCATCTCCAGCATCAACTCGCTGTCTGCGGTCTGCGAAGCTACCGGCGCTGATGTGTCGGAGGTGGCGCGTGCCGTGGGTTTGGACTCGCGCATTGGCTCAAAGTTTCTGCAAGCCTCTGTGGGCTTTGGTGGCAGCTGCTTCCAGAAGGACATACTCAATCTGATCTACATATGCGAGAACCTGAACCTGCCCGAGGTGGCCGCCTATTGGCAGCAGGTGATCGACATGAACGACTATCAAAAGCGGCGCTTCTCGCAGAAGATCATCGAGAGTCTGTTCAACACAGTGTCGGATAAGCGGATCGCCATTCTGGGCTTTGCCTTCAAGAAGAACACGGGTGATACGCGCGAAACGGCTGCAATTACCGTGTGCCAGACGTTGCTGGAGGAGGGCGCTAAGTTGGACATCTATGATCCCAAGGTGGAGCCAGAGCAAATTATTGACGATCTGACGCATCCGAGCGTAACGGAATCTCCTGAGAACGTAAAGAAGGCAGTCCAAATACACAGCGATCCGTACAGTGCAGTGCGCGCCACGCACGCCCTGGTGCTGTGTACGGAATGGGATGAGTTTGTGGATCTGGACTACAAGCGCATCTATCAGTCGATGATGAAACCGGCATACATATTCGATGGACGCAAAATTCTAGACCACGAGCGCTTGCTGCAGATTGGATTCCATGTGCAGACCATTGGTAAAAAGTACCAGAGGGCCGGGTTGCTTCGCTCGTGGGGCATTGTGCCGCAGCTGTAGGCGTATCTAGGCGTGGCATCAAGACTTAAAGTCGTCAACATTTTCCAGTATTTACGAGACTAACTGTGTAAATATGCGTTTATGTTTGTGTTTTTTTATATAAATAGTTCAAGTATTTCGCTAGATACGCCTAAGTATTCCTATATCTATTCCTACAACCAAATGTCGTTCCAGTTGCAATATAAATATAAACATTTGCCGTTGCAAACGGATACCCACTTTATACAGGATCCGCATTTCTGTACCATCTGATCATTAAGCAAACATTTACACGACTAATGTAAATTTTATAAAATAAACAACAATACTTCATAAATTGATGACTCAAAATGGTATTCTTCTAACAATCTGCCGATACCAAAGATAAGAAGTTGCTGCCGATAAACTGAACCAGGTAACCAGATACGAGAGATGATCGTTGCGCAGCGTGACGCGTGTCTGTCCGCCTATTGGAGTATTGGGTGCAGCGTTTGCGTCGTAAACGGCATCGAGGAAGATGGGCGCAGCTCCAGAGCTTGCACACATTCTGCCCAAATCGCGATAGAGATAGACTTGGCCATCCTTGTGATCTGGCGTAAACTGGGGACGACTTTCGCCCGAGCGCACGACGGCCGTCAGCTCCACTTCACTTCGATTCTGGCCCGAGGCGCGTGTCTCCTGGTCCACATGCTTTCGCGATATCCAGCCTCGGTTTATGAGAACAATGTCGCTGTGGGAAATTCGCGTAGGAGTTGGGAATAACAGCAAATGGTATTAGGCGTAATATTTGCACGACTCACTCCCTGTCCGCCAACTGGAACGGAGTTATGACGAGGTAGCCATTTCCTGAGTCGCGCTGAGAGAAAAGTCCACCCTGCGTTTCCACTCCATCCGGTCGTATCAGTGAGCGTGGTCCCATCAGCATCTCCTTGTCATGCAGAAATCGACCACGCAAGGTGACCAGACGATATTCCATTTGCGCCAACTGGCTCAAGCTGGGGCAAAGTAAAACAGTCACAACTGGGTGTAAAAAGTTAAGCTGCCAGCATTTGGGCATACTCATCGGGTAGATTCACCGGCGGCATGTGCAGCTGCTTATCCAAGTCCTTAATTAGCTGTTCCTTCCAGATCTTACGCTTCACCTGCCACACGCCCAGTCCAAATGTGGTTGCGGGTATGAGCTACACAGGGCACTTAGTAAAAGAAATTTCTTAAACATAAGGCTACTTACGAGTAGGAACCAACCTAGCGCTGTGATTTTATCCTTGTCCTTGTTGCCAATCGGAATACTCGTGGTCCATTCAATTTTTTGAGGCTGTTGTGTCATCTTTCTTGTGACCAGTTGCAGCCTGATGGTGGGTATTTTGTTTGTGCTGCCAGGCAGGCGTTGCATTGCACAGCTTTGTTTGCATATTTGTGCACTTAAACGAAGCATTATTTATATATATATTTTTGATTTATTGAATTTTTATTATTTCACGACAGAAGCAGCGACCCGGTCTTAACACACTTTTTTTGATAACTGTGGAGTCATTCTGTTAAATCAGCTGTTTGCTGGCGATGCTGAGCAGCTCTGTAAAATCTGCTGTTAACCGGCAGTGCTGAGCGGCTCTGTTAAATCAGCTGTTGACTGGCGGTGGCGCAACTGTTTTTTGACGAGTTGGCAGCACTGCATGTTGCTGGAACATTGCGTTTTGGTTTAAACAATTAAAATACGGTTTAATTAAAGCATGTTGTGCACTCGCGCAGCAGCGAGGCTTGCGGGTGGCTTAACCACGTCAGGATTGGTATGTGAACACATTAAATTGCTAAATCTAATTGCCCGATTATTGGGCTGCCTGCAAATGCACCAGCCACTCTTATATAAACCGCACTGACGTTTGTTTTTATTCTACAGGCAGCGCAACAAATATATAAACATCATGCGGTGGCGGCGGCTGTGGCAGCCAGATTTACCGACCAATGCAGACTCTGCTCCACCGGTGTTGTGGACAGTCCCGGCAAAGCGGCAAAACAAACATCGGAAGATGGCAGCATACTAAAACGTGTTCTAACCAAAGTCGGATTCACGCCCAATACAAAAGCCGTGAGTACTGTGCAAATTGAAAACTCTTCGACAAAGCTGTCACGACTTCATCCATTGCAGCGCCTAAAGGTTACCAGCCATCTGCTGTACGAGAGTGTAGCGGACAAGATCAACTACGTTGCCTTCTTTCGCCATTTTAATCTGCCAAACACGTTCAACTCCTGGTTTCTGGTCACCGAACTGCACGTGTGGCTGCTGATGATGCGCTCCATGGCCGAGGGTTCCGAAGCCGGCGAGGATGGACGCTTTCTGCGCAACTGTATTGTGGAGGCCATGTGGGGAGATGTGAATACACGCGCCAAAAAACTTGGTGTAAGTGTTTGAGTTCAACGTAGTGCATTGCTTATTTTCCTTACTGCTTTTCAGGCGAATAATCCCTCACGTACGAGAAAGCAAATCGAGACCCTGTCAGAACAATTTCAGGCGGCGCTCATTGCCTACGACGAGGGCATCATGTCCGACGACCGAGTGCTGGCCTGTGCTCTGTGGCGTCGCTTCTTTGAAATGGACTGCGAAGACTATGCCAAAATTGAGCGTCTAGTCAAGTATGTACGGGAACAGGCGTTTATGTTGGATAGCTTAACTCGGGATCAGTTCATAACGAAGCCTAACGTTGCTTGGCTCGATCTGGACAAGTGTAAAGTTGATGCATAGAAAATGTTCTTTTAGTTTGTTTATTAAAGTCTATATACACTTCTAAGCCTAAGATTCACACTACCAGATCGTCGATGGGCTCGTCCACCAGTGCTCTCAGCTGACACTTGAGCAGGAAGGCCATGATACGGCGTTCCGCTCGTATCTTTTGTGTGCCCTTGAGTTGCTCAAGAATTCTGGCCATTTTGAGATAATCACTTGCGGGCGATGATGTTTCCCCAGTGGAGGGCGACGTTCCTTTTGACGAAGGTTCGAAGTCTGGTTGAAGATGCTCCTCCTCTATCGCATCTTCTCCCTCGTAAATAATCTCTTCTTGCAAGATTTGATCATTCTGCTCAATGATTTCCTCAATTATAAATGAGTCGGAATTGTGCTCCATATCGCTGACATGCATCACCACGCAATCCTCGTACGACTGCCACGCATCCTGATCCACAGAAGATTCTTTTCCCACCTCCGCAGTTTGCGATTTATCCGTACACTGCGCCGTGTGCTTGGCTTTGGGTCGCGATGGCACACCAGACAAAAATTGTAGACGCTTGAAATATGGCCATGTTGAACCGCCAGGTCGCCGTGATTCCTTTCGATACTGGTAGTGTAAATTGTTCCAGCGCATTAGGCAGAAATCCACTGGAAGGGTAGGAAACGTTAAGGCTGGTTGATGGGGAAACACCAAAAATTACCATCGCAATCCATAATCTCTGCTATATTTGACCAGATTTCCGATTTGACTTTCATAATGTCATAATTCGAAAGGCCCGTCTGGCGCTTATACAATACGGTGTTTGGCTCGACATGATCAATAAGCTTGAAATCAAATGGACGATTCTTTTTATAGCTGGTGCGCATATTTATTTACACTATTCAAAATGACTTCGCACTCATGTTGTAATGATAGTATGCGTATTTTCCGTGAGTTTGTAATCACAATACAAATAAAATATGTATTCAGTTAAACGAAAAATTAAGTAGAGTACAGACACACAATATTGATATTACGATTAAAATATTAATATTAAAATTAAAAATATTGTGAAAATTCAATGTTAAGTTCCATTTGCTGCAACAGTTGAATCGATAGTGTCACTCTGCTGTTAATAGTGTTACCGTACACATGTCTAACAGAGTTGCTTTGATTTAAAACTATCGAGAATGTTCGATACGAAGCATGAATAACCCTACAGTTTCTTTCATCTCTAATACTGACGTAGGTGCAAAACCTGGAAAATTGTAAGGTGAAGTGAAAATTGCAAAAAAAGTGAAAAAAGATATAATATTTGGCAAATAATTGTGCAATTCAAGTGCTGATAAAGATGAACATGTAAGTAACACTAATTTTCAATGGGGGACACATCAATTTAATGAGAATTTTGGCATACGAATTGACATATGGCGAGGAGTGTGCGGCGGGTGGGCAAGAAAATTTTCTTAAACATTGGCTAAAAATCGATAAATCAAAATGGCAGGGAGAGTAGCTAGTGAAAATCACATCGAAAAGTAGAAAATAACGTTTGGAACTGCTTTTGATGCTCAAAATTGAAATTAATGGCGAACAACGCTCGTTCCAGGTATAACGGACAGGTAAATGGTTACATGGGAGGTGCACCAACCGGTGGTATGCCCAACAATCGCATGGGCGCCAGCGGAGGTGCTGGAATGTTCCAGCGCAATCGATCGGCTCCATACATTCGTGGTGGACCCGGCGGCGGCGGCGGTGGTGGATTTAATGGTGGTCGCATGAATATGGGCGGCCCAGGAGCACGCGACGGTGGCGGATTTGGCGGTGGTCAGAACAGTAATCGCACCTCAACTCATGGCGCTCATTTGCCGTCAATTGTTTGGTCAGAGGTGTCGCTCACCCCGTTCCGCAAGAATTTCTACAAGCCGTGCGAGTCCGTATTGGCTCGTACACAAGGCGAAACGGAAACGTTTTTGAGCAGCAACGAGATTACCATTAAAGGCAATGAAGTGCCCACTCCCAGCATTGAGTTTGAGGAGGGCGGCTTTCCTGACTATGTCATGAATGAGATTCGCAAGCAGGGTTTCACCAAGCCCACGGCCATTCAGGCTCAGGGCATGCCAATCGCTTTAAGCGGACGTGATCTTGTCGCTGTAGCTCAAACCGGCTCCGGCAAGACTTTGGCCTACGTGCTGCCCGCCGTAGTCCACATTAACAATCAGCCGCGCTTGGAGCGCGGAGATGGACCCATTGCCCTAGTGCTGGCCCCCACTCGCGAGCTGGCCCAGCAGATACAGCAGGTGGCCAGCGAGTTTGGCTCTAATACGCAGGTGCGCAACACTTGCATCTTTGGTGGCGCCCCCAAGGGCCAGCAGGCCCGTGATCTGGAGCGAGGCGTTGAAATTGTTATAGCGACACCGGGACGCCTTATTGATTTTCTGGAGCGCGGCACAACTACACTAAAACGCTGCACTTACCTTGTGTTGGACGAGGCCGATCGCATGCTGGACATGGGCTTTGAGCCACAGATCCGCAAAATAATGCAGCAGATACGCCCAGATCGCCAGGTACTCATGTGGTCCGCCACATGGCCAAAGGAGGTGCGCCAGCTGGCCGAGGAGTTTCTCAACAATTACATTCAGGTCAACATTGGCTCGCTATCGCTGAGCGCCAATCACAATATACTCCAGATTGTCGATGTCTGCGATGAGTCCGAGAAGATTGTCAAGCTTATACAGCTGCTCACCCAGATCTCTGGCGAGAACGAGACCAAGACCATCATATTTGTGGAGACCAAAAAGCGTGTCGACGAGATAACACGCAATATTTCACGTCAGGGCTGGCGCGCATGTGCCATACACGGCGACAAGTCGCAGCAGGAGCGTGACTTTGTTCTATCCAGTTTTCGCAATGGACGCCACTCCATACTGGTGGCCACCGATGTGGCTGCTCGCGGATTGGGTGAGTGTTTCGTAGCTTTTGCGCCAGTAGCTGGCTAACACTAGCTGCTCTATTGTCTTTTTTGATGCGCTCCATAACCAATAACCGAGCAAGTGTTGCTGTGGATCAACAACATGCCCAAAAAAAAAAATAATGCCAAATGGTTTTGTTTCATTATTTGATTCGTCGTCGTCGTCGTCGTCTGGCAGCGACCGTCAGCGATGAATCGGCCAACACCGACCAGCCTCTTACTCTTACTCTTACTCATTATTCCTGCGCTTTCGCTTTCACATCTCACTCTTTGACTTAATCGATTTTCTCTCACCATTCGAGTGGGGACAAGTTGAGCGTTGTGCATTTACAGGTTAATTTGTGCATTGCATGCCTTAGCTCTTCTCCCATTTCCTGCCGCAGCTTCCGTCCGGGGAGGCGTTTGTTTTTGTTTTTACTTTTCAGTTTTTGCTATTTTTATAAATAAAACAAGAAAAATGGTGTGGTCGAAATAATGAGGGGAATGTGTTCTCCCTGCATTTTGCTGGTTATCTGAAGTTTTTTCCACATATGTGTACTATTGTATTTTTAGTTTGTTGCCCTCCTTTTTCTATATAGTTCTTTAGTTGTGCTTCGTCAAGTAAACTAACGTACCATATTTTCAATTTGCTGTCAGTCAAGGACTCAATGGCCTAGCAAAATACGAGTAACTGAATAATAATAATAATTAAAAAAAAAACTAATAATAATGCTTAAAGATCGTTTAAAAGTTGTGTTGGATACGCTCTTTAAAAGACTGGCCAGTTGGAACTCACTTAAAGGCTTTCTTTGAAGGGTTGTAAACTATTTTTTTTTAATACTATTTTTTTTTTAAGTTTGAAATTCGGAGTTGAAAATATTTAGTTAAATTTTGCGGCCAAGAAATTTTTGACTGATGCCTATTTTTCGTAGTTTATTTGTAATTACCATAAAAGTATTATTATGTATATTTGTATATTACGTCGCTCCTATATGTATAAAACCTAAATTTGTGTGTGAACAAAAATATCATCAGCACTTTTTGAAATGGACTTCGATTTTTATATGGCAAACGAAAAAAAAAAAAAGAAAAGAAAAATGATAAACCAAGAGAAAAAGTTAAATGTTAAAACCAAAAGTTGTATACACAAAACAGATAAAAAAAAAAAGATAAGAAAAGGTTAAGCTTTATATACAAGTTGAGGGTTGAATTCTTAAGTTTTTAGCAACGCGGAACTCACATCACTTAAGCTCCGCGCCCAGGCTACATCTACAACAGCTCAGCTACAATCGAAATACAACAACAACAACAACAACAGAGCCGTAACAACATTTATTACGTAAGCCCTATCTAATTTAATCATAGATCGCACACGGGGTAAGTACTAGGCTAATTATCAACCAACTCTCTCTCTCTCTCCCACACTCTCTCTCACCTACCCAGACCTCTCTTTTTAATCACCATTGCCATTAAACGACCCAACCACAATCCCAGCGCTTGCCACATCTCCATACTCCATACCCAATGAATCCTTAGTACCCTCTCATCACATACTTATTATCTAGACTACATCTTAAGTTTAATCAAGCCGTCTCTTGTATGCATTAAGCTTAAACAAAAGTCAATATATATATAAATAAAGATTTGTGTATTCCAAAAACAAAAAAAAAAAAAAAGCATAAAAATGAGAACACAAAGGTCGAGGTCCACATTTCTGCAGTATAGAAAAAACATATATCTGTTTGCCAAAGATGTATCGTTGTTAATATACGCTAAATAGTATTGATGGCGAAATTTTTGTTCAAATCAAAACGATAAAATATGTAGAAAAAACAATGCAAAACAAATTACATAAAACAATATTAATTATTCAAGTGCTTATTTAAGTTTAACAAAAAAAAAAAACAAAAAAATTGATTTATAACTTTAACAAAAAAAAAAAAAAAACAAACACACACATAAGTTTCTGTTTTTGTTTATAGTTCTTGAGTATGAGTATATATTGAGAAACGAAAAAAAAAACAAACAAACATATTAATTGGAAAATGTGTTTAACATATTGATAACTTCTTCAATTTTCAAAACCAAAAATCACGCAAACAGACGTTGACGATGTCAAGTTTGTGATCAATTATGATTATCCTTCGAACTCGGAGGATTATGTGCACCGCATCGGACGTACCGGACGCTCCAATAATACAGGCACTGCCTATACCTTGTTCACGAACTCCAATGCCAACAAGGCCAATGATTTGATCCAGGTGCTGCGCGAGGCCAATCAGGTACTGCTTAAATATTCGGAACGCCATTATCTATATATATCACTCACATCGTTTATTCTCTGTTAAGACTATCAATCCAAAGCTGATGAATATGGCCGCTAGCGGTGGTTATCAGAAGCGCGGCGGCATGGGATATCGCGGCAACAGTGGTGGCTACCAGGGACGCAATCCTCAAATGGGCGGAGCTGGAAACTATCGCAACAATCAGAATAACAACAATATGCAAAGAAATGGAAATGGCAACAGCGGTGGCTACAACCCGGGCGGTCCGCCACGTTACGATCAGAAGCCGTCGCGCACTTCGCCGCCTGCTCCAGGCGCTGGTTATCGTCCACCAGGCGGTGGCTATCAACAGCAGCAGCAGCAACAGCAGCAGCAGCAGCCGTCACAGCAGTCCAATGGGGTACAGTTCTCGCGCTTCAATCCGAATGCTGCTTGCTTTGAGCCCAAGTCACCGGCACCAGGTGTCCAGCAGCATCAGGCGCCACATTTGGCCGCAGCTCAGGCAGCTGCAGCCGCCGCCGCTGGCTATGGTTATGGTATCGAACAGAAACGCTCTCGGTTTGCCCTGAACTTCAATATGCCTCCGCCACCGATTGCACAGCAGCAACAGCAGCAACAACAGCAGCAGCAGCCGCCGCAACAGCAGCCACAACAACCACAACCGCAGCAAGTGCCGGTTGGCGGTGCAGCTACTCTGCCGCCCCAGGCATACGGACAGTATACAAGCATGTCCAGCAGCATGGCGACGGTGTCCCTAAATGGAGGCGCACCCAGCATACCGGCCAGCGCCTATCGAGCACCGTATGCGATGCCGTACGTGATGCAGCCTCCACCATTACCCGTACAAAACTAAAAATCGTAAAGCCAAATTGTACGAGCTAAAATAACTGGACCTTAGTATTACTTGGTCTATGTTTTTTTTGCTCAAATAAAATTTCCTTTCCTAATCACTAACACCAAGACACGCATACACACCCACGCACATACATACACAGACTCACACACACACACACAGACACGAACACACACACACACACACACAGGCACACACAGAACAGAAACATACACATCAGCGTAAGAAACTTGAGTATAGATTTAAATCTTAGATACACTCTAAGGTCCCAGACTTGTGTAGATCTCCTCCGCCCACACAAACATATTAGCAATATAATATGGTTTAAACTGGAATCAAATACGCTTGCAATTTGATAAATTCCCTTCACGTTTCTATATATACATTTAATCATCAAATCTAACACGTAGTTATTAGGCATTGTTTAGTCGAAACATTTGGGCAAACGTTCGCCAAACATCATTTGGCATTTAGCTTATTATAATGAGCCCCCAGCGTATTTGATTTCTGTAACTATTCTCGAATAACCCAATTCTATCGATAATGCAAAATTTTCTAATTTGCAATGCTCCAAGCGACACTGACACAGAGACAAACAAAATATAATGTCAATTTCTTAGAATCAAATGCGTATTATATCATCTTAAACCATATTATGTGACTAGTCTAATTGCTTAGCTGAAACTTACACAACAATTTTCACGATAACAACACCAGAAAAATAACAATAAAATAAATGTATAATTCCATTATATGTAAACGTATGAATTGATTTACAACTTATGAATAAAGGAGTTCATTAAACATCAGATTAATTGTATTAGTGCTACGACCAAGTTCTGTAATTAACTTAACTTATACTTCTAGAGTGTAAAAGTTATTGAGGGCTTGAAGCTATTCAATCATTTTATCAATAATGAAAAAAAAAACAAACACTATCAAGAAAACTAATGCAAAAATTTGATGATGATTTATGTAAACCCAAAGGGTGAGACGATGGGTTTTTTCTTTTCTCTTTTGATGACATTTTTTTTAACAACTCCTAACAATTTCTTTCACACTCTAGAATCTGAAACTTAATTGAATTGTATTCCATTTTTTTAAGCATTTTCCTTTGGTTTAATATTCAAGTGTTTTTTGTAAAAGGCAAGAAGTCAAAGATGTTTTCGGTAAGATGTGAGTTATAGCTCATTCGTGTTATACTTACGTTTCCAGGCGCTTTTCCACAATTTGTTGTATTAATGAGGATCGGTTTTTCTAAACTTAATTGATTTGCTTTTATTTTCATTTTTAAATATATATATATATATATTTTATATAAGAAAAACTATTATACATCCAAAATTATCATAATAATAAATAGAACTAAAGTATACAAATATTACTAGACAGCATCACCAACATTATATATCATTAAATTAAATGATCTTTAATCAGTGGCTATCATCCATCCATGCATCGATACATTGATCTTTTCTAGCTTCAACGTTACTCGTATTTCCATTTTTTTTTTTTTTGGTTTTGTTTTCAAAATTTGTTTAGTTCACACATTTTACAGAATTTATTTTTAAAAATTACACGATGAATATGATTATGACTAACAAAATTGTGAGAATGTAGAAGTCATTTTTGTTGTTGTTGTTTATTTATGTTTTGTGTTTCTTTGTTGCCTTTGTAACGTGCTAACGGGGTTTTTTTTTTATTACATAGCTTTATGTGTTATACTCGATCCTTAAACTATTTGTCTGGCGCATACTAAACCTTCAATGTTTCGCATTTTTTGGCTGCCTGCTGATTAATCGGGTTTTACATATTTATATATATATATATATATTTATATAGTTATAATGCAATTTATTTCCTGATTCGCATAATTTTCAGTAGTATTAGTTGTTGTTGTTGCTGTTCTAAGTTTTCGGGGGGGAGTACTGAAACATTGAGTGCAGTTTTACAATTTTTATCGATTTTTTTTCGCTTTTTTTTAAATTTTTTTTTCTAGTTAAATTTAATTGTTTTTTTTTTTAATGTGTGTTAATTTTGCTTAATTTTTTGTTTCTTTGGCGCAGTTGACTAAGTATGTTGTGTTTGGTTTGCTACGATTCTGCCTGCTGTTTACATATATAGATATCACGAGAGTTCCTGCGAGAACTGCGTCTCCAGGGTGGGTCTAGTTCTAGTTGGATTTCTGTTGGGATTGCGTATCGGTGGTCCTGGGCTGCCATAGCCCGCCGCATACAGCTGCGGGCACGAGTCTTTTATAAGTTCCTGCGTCTCGCGCAGCTGCCGCTGCACCTGAGGCGCCAATCTCTGCACGCTGATGGCCGGCGGAAATTTATATTCCGTTGGTGGTGGCGCGGGCTGCTAAAATGAGACAGACAGATTTATGTTAGGATCATAAAATAGAGTTCCGAGTTCCTCGGGATCATTTAGATAGAGGGATTGACTCTTAGATGATTCAGATTTTGAGATTCCCTAAGATTACATTTCATATCTTCTTTAATCATTCCCATGGAAACTCTTTAGTGATACGATCAGGCCAGTTGCAGTATACAGAAAGGCGGAACTATATATCATGACGATAGCTTTACAAATGGGAGACTATTTTGAATAGAAATAGATAAACGGACATGGTTATATACTGCGTGGATACTAGGAGGACCGACATTCCAAATCTCTCTAGCTCTTAAGTGCAGACATGGCTGTATTAACTCGACCTGATCAGGAATATATATAATTTATGGGGTCGGAGTCGTTTCCTATTCTTAACCAGCTACAGTATAAATCAAATTTTAGTTAGGATCTCGTGCCCCTTTTATGTTCAGAATTTGCCATCTCATTGGCTCGCCCTCTCACCTGCACGGTGTGCATGACCTCGCCGTAGTAGGCGCCGGCTGCGTTTGGCGGTTGTTGCAGCTGCGACGTTTGCGGCTGCAACTGTTGTTGCTGCTGCTGCTGCTGCTGCAACTGTTGCTGCTGCTGGCTTTGGCTGTGTGGAGCGGTTTGTGTTTCGTAAGTTTCGGAGGCGATGGGAACTGATGCCGCTTGTTGGGCGGCACTTTGGGGGGCAGTGCTCGGTACTCCGTAGTAGGACAGCTGCAAGGGTGTGCGTCCAGCTGTAGCGCCGGCGCCATTTAGGAAGCCCGTCACGCCCGTCTGCATGAGCGGCGAGTTGGCGGCAATGTACTGAACAGGCGCGGCGCTGATTGGCGGCGAGGGTGCGGCGCCATACATCATACGCTTGGGGCTGACGCTTTGCGGCTTCCCGCCGGCGGGCAGCGTCAGCAGGTGGCCGCCATAGGCAGCCAGTTGTTGTTGTTGCTGCTGCTGCTGCTGTTGTTGTTGCTGTTGTTGTTGCTGGTAGAGAACCAGTTGCTGTTGCTGCTGCTGTTGCAGCTGATTGAGTTGCGCGGCGGCAGCTGCATTGGCATTGGACGTATTGACGAGGTTGGCATCGAGCTGCGGCAGTAGCTGCTGCGTGAGGATTAGCTGTTGCTGCTGCTGCTGATAGAGACTGGCCGCCTGATGTTGTTGCTGTTGCTGTCGCCCTGCCATCACGTGCTGAGGTAGATACTCCGTCGTGGGCAGCGTGTTGCTGCAAGCCGCGGCGGGCTGCAGCAGATGGCCAGCGGGGCCGCTGCTGCCGGCAGCGCCTCTCGTCTTGATCGGCACCTGCACCACCTGACGTATTGGCGTCGTCTGCAGCGACCGGCTGGCGGAGGAGCATATGGATGCGGTCAGGCTAGCGGACTCCCAATGCTGCACCAGTGCATTCAGTCGTGCCTCCTCCAAGGCAATTTCCGTCTCGCTGGCCGAGTCATAGTCGGGGCCCTGCGAATATATTTACTTTACTTCAGGTCCTTATCTTTAATTGTGTTTAGCGACATACCTCGTCGATCTTCTTGTCCAGCATGCGAAAGAAATTCTGTTGGCTTGATGATATTTCTCTGCAAGGTGCAGGCAGTTTTAGTTTGGATGGATTTAGGTGTGGGGCATGGGGTAGCGCCACGTGAGGCATGCAACTTGCTACTTACTGGCTTTGTAGCAGCGACAGGTTTTTGGCACGCAGCAGCGACACGGCGACGTCCTCCTCGGTGTCCTGTATGTCCTTATTGCTTTGTTCCTCGGTCTCGTCATTCTTTTCGCGCTCACGTTGCTGCGCCTTCTCCGCATCCTCAATGTGGCCTTCATCCTCGTCCGTCTCCGCGTCCGAATCGGCTAAGGGCAGAGATTGAGAGGGCAGAAGCAATATGTAAATAGGCGGCAAGTTTGGTAAACAAGTGGAAAACTAAAGCAATAAGATGTTGCTTTGTTTATGGGTGCGGGCAGGAGGGAGCACTTCATGAAATGGCGTAGAGAGTGCTCAAAGTACATTTGAAGAAGTCGTAGAAAAGTAGAACAACAATTTAGGAATTTAGATAACTATTCGTGGTATGTTAAAGCATATTTAAGTCAATATCGCCGATTTATATTATGTAGAACATCTGCCTTAAATTGGAAGTCCAGCTCGATTTTATACCCTTTTGTCACAGAATATGCTAGGTTGGAATACTTTATCATATAGCTCTATGGTAAAAATCCGTCAAATAATGAATGGAAAAAATCTGCCAATATATCTATAAAGTCGTATCCAATCTGGCTGGCTTCCATTTTATATGGCTGCTAAAGCAAGAATTAGTCGGAAGTAAGGTTTGTTTACAAACATTTCCTAGCTGAATGCATGCAAGGGTATATAATCTTTGGTATTATTAGCTAAGACATCATATCTACCAGGATCTTAGAGCCTACGTACAAAATTGGCCAACCTTTTGCGGTGCTCATTCATTTAGGCCTTTGCAAATTTAATTAAGACGAGTTATGCATTTTAATGCAAATTCGTCGAAATACGATATGAATGAAAAACTTTATAATTAATCCAGGCAGTCCAAAGAAGCGTGAGCCTGACGAACCTAGGACCAACAGCAATGGGGCCTTTTATGGCACAATGGCGCCTTTGTGTATGCTACACTTTTGTTAACCCATTTTGAACGCAGCCACACACACACGCACATGCACACACACAGGCATTCAGGCACATATACAAATAGAGACAAGGGCCCCAAAGAGGCCACACCCACTCAACTGGTGCGCCCACTGCAACAACAAGTTGCCTTTTAGTAGTTAATTACACACACACACACACACATACACACATGCATGCATCCACTCTCTAGTGAAAGACTGTAAAAGCAGCAGCAGAAACATGACAAAAGGCTCTCGGGGCTTTGCCGAAAGTTTTGAATGTAGGCTAGGGCAACAATTTTATTTTTCAGTGTTTTATTATAAGCTCACACATGCACACACACATACACACACACATGCATATATACATATGTTATATTTATGGCATGCATGCGTGTGTTAGTTATAAGCCTAGTCCTTTAGTTTGTGAATGCACGGCCTAAGCTCTGCTGCTGACATATTAATCAATGATGTCCTCATTGTGAAAACAGGTGGCTTATACACACACACACGCACACACACACACACGTAGACACACGCACGCACACACAGCTGCAGGCAAATTGATGTCGTCATGCGTGTAAGCTTTTGTTATTTGTGTGCGAGCGTGAGTGTAGCCAAGGCAAATAGACACACAATCACACATATGCAGACATTCGCACTCACACACACACATGCAGAGCCGCGACTCCTTTGATTTGCTGCTTACCATGTCCTCCTTTCTTGCCATTTGCTTTACTCTTCGATTTCCTGGGATATAAATGTATTTTGCTCTGTCCACAGCCCATTTTCTGACTGTGCTGCTGCTGCGGCGGCTGCTGCGTCTGTTGTTGACGGCGTCGCTGACGCTGGCGTTGACGCTGACGCTGACGTTTAGGTTGAGGCTGGCGTTGTGTGTTGTTTTGCTTGTTGTTCTTGTTGTTTTTGGTTGTTTTCAATTTTTTTTTTTTTATATTTTTATTAATTTGTTGCTCGACACGTTCTGCGTAGTCTGCTGACGACCTGTATCTGCTGCCCTCGCCTGCTCGCTCGCTCTATCTTGCTCGCTCTCTCTCTTTCCCACTCTCTTTTTATGCCTCTATTTTATTTACGTTTTTGTCACACGTCTCTTTGATGTGTGTGTGTGTGTGTGCTTTCTTGTGTTTTATTCAATTTTCACTAATTTAACTATGTGTGTAAATTTAATTTATTTGATTTCTTGTTGTTGTTGTTGCTGCTGCTGCTGCTGTTTGTTGTTGCACGTTTCGAAATTGTTTTTTATGCGACAGCAGCATCAACAACAACAACGACAACAACAACATTCAATAATAATAAAAAAAAAACATTTGCGAGAATGGAACATTCCACGTTAGCCACTTGCTCGAGCAACTCATTTGTCGACATCGACGACAACGTCGTTCTTCTTCTTCTCTGAGCGACGTCGTGCGTAAAACGCCCACCCACCCCCATTTCTAGTTCAAACCAAACACGAAAGCGCAAAAAAAAAACTTTGAAAAGTAGCGGAAATTAACTTTTTGCCTTGGACCAGCGTAACAGCGACACACACCGCCTGGCCACACTGTGCGCCGCCCCCCCTGGGCGACCCACTGTGCTGCCCCGCCCCCAACCACTTGTTTCGCTCTGTTCGAGTTATAAATTCAATTTACAGCGTCAATTTGTAAACATGCACACGGCACAGGACACGACAAAACCCATAAAAGGGTTTGGCTCCAGGGCTGCCATACAAAAATGCTCTCGCTGTTTTTGTTGTTGTTGTTGTTGTTGTTGCCTCTGTTTCTGTTGCTGTTACTGTTGAGACGCGCGCGTTTTACAGCTTTCAACACTCGCGTGCGGTGTTGTTGCTGCTGTTGTTGTTGCTAATTTAAACAAATAACAATAATAAGCACAACAAATAATGCAACAAAAACACTTGAATTTTATTCAATTATTCTCACATAGCCGAGCAGCGCGCTGCTGACCAAAGCAGAGCATCAGCCTCTTGCTCACCAGTAAAGTTTATAATAGACACACACATGCACACACGTACGCACTAGCATACATGGGCAGGCGAATGAGGCAGGCAGTGAGGCGCCAAACAGCCGAAGCCAATACACTCGTTTGGAGAGCAAGAGCGAGAGCAAGCTCCAGCGCCGCCTCTCTCTCGCTCTCTCTGCTGCTGCTGCTGCTGCTGCTGTTTGCTCCTGTATGCGTGCGTGTGTGTGTTTGAGTGCGCGCTGCGTGCGAAATTGATTTTTCTATTTATAAAAAAAAAACCAAAATATATCTGTATTTTCGTTTGTAGCGCGGCGTTTTTTTTTTTTTTTGTATGGAATATTTTTGTTTCTGCTGCCAAAAACATAATTTATGCTTTATTTATGATTCTCATTTCCCATTTGGCATTTTGTATTCAAGCGTTTCGACGGTTTCGTGTGCGCGTTTTTATAGAAACTTGTTTGATTTATACGCAGCCCCACTTGGGCACACACACACTCGGTGGTGCCTCCAGTCGCAGCGCGTTTTCCGTTATTCAGATTCCGGAATCGGAGAACATTTGTTTAGCGGCAAAATATTTGCCGTACAGCATTTATCGCTTACTTTTATTTACACATTTGGTTAAACACTAAAAAGGAACTTTTGCGCATCAATTTTCATTGAATATTTACACTCGGTTCTTTCATTTTTATGGATTTTCTGCGGAAAACTCGCCGAAAAAGTTTTGACTGCGACGCGTCGCTTGTGTGTGGAATTTTGTATGCTGAAATTTATGCTGCCTGACACTCCTCTTTGTGTCACACACAGCACACTTTTGTGCTTTTCTCATTCGGCGCGTTGCGGCGCGCGAGAGTGCGAGAGAGGAACAGAATCAAAGAGAGAGAGCGCAGCGACAAATGAGCGGAGCGCAGCTTACATGCCAGCACATGAGAAAGCATGGCCGGAGCTTTTATGCTCAAGACAGCTCTCACAGTAGTTCAACAAGGGGTGGGTTTTTGCTACTGAAAAGCCTTTACGAACTTTTTTTTTTGGGTTGGGGTTTGAGTTCTTTGAAGCTTTCAGCGCTGCCGGGCATGCTTTTGGGTGGTACTCGCAGTTAGTTGAATGAAAGCTGCAGTCAGATAAATATTGAAGTATCCACAAGGGCAGCGAATTTTTTGAGAAAAAGCTTGCGGCATTGTGCTCTAAACTTAAAGCTCATGCTCAAGCTCTGGGCGCGCGTTAAGGCTAACATTCAAAATGAACAAAAGCTTGCTTACAAAACTTTATACATGTGGTTGGCAACTCGCCAAGCAAAAAGTTGCCACAGATTATTTTACAACCCAATATGTTGAGCTTCTGGCAAAGAACTGCCTCCATTAACTGGGAAGCTCGTGTGAAATATATTAAATAAATCGGCGCTTTGTCATGTTCAGCATCATTGCTTTTCGCAAATACTCAGCGTCCAGCGTGATGCTCTATTTCCGTTGCCAGAAACAACAGGACGAACGAACAAACCCCCTCGAACTATTCGGAAAACTCGCCCTTAGCCCTAACTATGTTGTAGATGTCGCTCGATGCCCATTATGCGAGTTTGCCATGTGAATTTATTGCATAATAATGAAGTGAGAAACGTTACAAATCAAAACACTCGACGGCATCGAGATAAAGTTTCTTTTCTGTTCTCCTTTTTTTTTTTATCATTATAATATTTTTGGGGCAGATTCGGCGGCAATTCATGTGCATTTGTCAGCCGCAACGGAATTGAAACGTTTGCGCTTTTATTGCTGCGGACGTGTGTCGCTTAGCCTGGCAGGGGGGTTGGACAGCTCGCCGGGGGATGTCCTGGCTGGTGGGAAACGGAATAAAAATATGAAATGGATAGTGGCAAGCAGGAAGTAATAAACAACAAATGCGTAACAATATCATAATATTGATCTGGTCCTCCTATTACAATGAGGATAACATTTTATGTAAATGCATAGATTTACCAGCCTAACGGCACATACTATATAGGATAATGGGCTTAAGGGCTATGAGCTATATTATATTTCTCAATCAAATGTTTATAATGGAGTTAAGAAAATGGTGTGCAGCAAACTTTACATTTTCCAACTAAATATGTCCAATTTCTTGATGTTAAATTTCGAATTATAAAATTTACAATGTAGTTATGCGCACGTTAAGATTGGGCTTCGGAAAATTCCACCCGCCAAAAACGTTTGTATAGAACTTTTTTGTTTACAGTCCGATCGGCTTAAAACGCATTTGCTAAGGTCTCAGAGAGAATTTATTTTAAACTTGACATATGTCCAAATATTCCACATAGGTCAACATTTCCCACAGAGGTCGTTCTTTCCGACTCCCATAACTCGGTCAAAACTCAACAGATTTTTATATGGTTTGCATTTTTATTCATGGTTTGACTCGTAGATCAATTTTGCATCTAAATCTGGGAACATGATTTTTGGTCGAAATTCATGTTAAAATGGAACATTAGATATCCTATATAGGCATAGGTCAAACTTTCCCAACCCCATAACTCGGTCAAAACTCAACAGATTTTGATAAGGCTTGGCTTTTTATTCATGGTTTGACTCGTAGATCAATTTTGCATCTAAATCTGGGAACATGAGTTTTGGTCGAAATTCATGTTAAAATGGAACCTCAGATATCCTACATAGGCTTGGATCAAAATTTCCCAACCCCATAACTTGGTCAAAACTCAACAGATTTTCATAAGGCTTGGCTTTTTATTCATGGTTTGACTCGTAGATCAATTTTGCATCTAAATCTAGGAACATGATTTTTGGTCGAAATTCATGTTAAAATGGAACCTCAGATATCCCATATCTGCATGGATCGAAATTTCCCAACCCCATAACTTGGTCAAAATTCAACCGATTTTCATAAGGCTTGGCTTTTTATTCATGGTTTGACTCGTAGATCAATTTTGCATCTAAATCTGGGAACATGATTTTTGGTCGAACTTCATGTTAAAATGGAACCTCAGATATCCCATATATGCATGGATCAAAATTTCCCAACCGCATAACTTGGTCAAAACTCATCCGATTTTCATATGGTTTGCATTTTTATTCATGGTTTGACCTCTAGATCAATTTTGCATCTAAATCTGTGAACATGATTTTTGGTCGAAATTCATGTTAAAATGGAACCTCAGATATCCCATATATGCATGGATCAAAATTTCCCAACCCCATAACTTGGTCAAAACTCAACCGATTTTCATGAGGCTTGGCTTTTTATTCATGTTTTGACTCATAGATCAATTTTGCATCTAAATCTGGGAACACGATTTTTGGTCGAAATTCATGTTAAAATGGAACCTCAGATATTCCATATATGCATGGATCAAAATTTCCCAACCCCATAACTTGGTCAAAACTCAACCGATTTTCATAAGGCTTGGCTTTTTATTCATGGTTTGACTCGTAGATCAATTTTGCATCTAAATCTGGGAACATGATTTTTGGTCGAAATTCATGTTAAAATGGAACCTCAGATATCCTATATAGGCATAGATCAAACTTTCCCAACCCCATAACTCGGTCAAAACTCAACCGATTTTCATAAGGCTTGGCTTTTTATTCATGGTTTGACTCGTAGATCAATTTTGCATCTAAATCTGGGAACATGATTTTTGGTCGAAATTCATGTTAAAATGGAACCTTAGATATCCTATATAGGCATAGATCAAACTTTACCAACCCCATAACTCGGTCAAAACTCAACAGATTTTCATAAGGCTTGGCTTTTTATTCATGGTTTGACTCGTAGATCAATTTTGCATCTAAATCTGGGAACATGATTTATGGGCGAAATTCATGTTAAAATGGAACCTCAGATATCCTATATAGGCATAGATCAAACTTTCCCAACCCCATAACTTGGTCAAAACTCAACAGATTTTCATAAGGCTTGGCTTTTAATTCATGGTTTGACTCG